AATTGTTCAGACATCATCAAACCGGAAAACAACAAACTGAAAAAACATGTGCTTCCAAACTCTGAACAAAAGAAATAGTTCAGATTACTAATTTCACCAAATAAGATAAAGACAAAAAGAAACAGTTTAGATTAATAATTACCTTTCTCAAGATCATCTTGCTGTCGAATGTACTTGAGCATTTGTTGATTGGTAACCATTTCTTTCTCATTCAACTGAAACTCACACTTCAACCACTTCTCCGTGCACATGAGGACTTCATTCATATAATGAGTCAAGCAACTTCGTTGTGGGTCTAGAACAGTGGCAGAACCACAAAAAAATTGTATTGGGGTCAGATTTTTTTTCCAAAAACATAATTTATAAACCATCATAAAACTATAAATATACTCTATGATTTAAACATAATTTATAAACCATAAAAAAACTATAAATATATTCTATGATCATTTATAGTTTGAAAATATTTATCATAGTATTTAGCAAAAAAACTATTTATTATAGATTCATTTACCACATTTTCAAATAGTTTTTCCTATAAAAAAATTAAGACAACTATTTAGAAACTGAATACAAATGCGATTTTGCATTATTTTTAACTATCTTCATTCATGTCTGAAAAATTATCATCCGTTGGTATATTTTTCTTTTCAGATTCAAAAAAACTGATCTATTAGTTTTCTGATTAATTTTAAGAATTAATCTACTTCTAAATATATAATTACTTGTCAAAGGTATTCAAAGATCATGAACATAGATTAATCATAAACATTTTATTGAATTGAATCAATGAATTATAATCATTTTTGGTTTAGTAAAATAGTATAAGCAAAAGAAAGAGTATAACAAAAAAATAGAAAACTAACCTGCAATTTATCAAAAAATTACTTGTTGAGCATGAAAATTTCGCAGTCTGGCATTTGTCCAAAAAGAAATACAAATCATCTAATTTTTTTCAAATTCGCTCATGTGCTTTCTAATATTAATTATTTGGGCTAACGTAATTTGGGTTTAATAAAAATATGTAACTAGGAGTCATCTTTGAACAAAAACAAAATATTATTTCTAACCTTCATGAGAAAGTGGAATTTTTAACCTAGGAGTCATCATTGAACGTACGCTAAATGTTCACCCGCTTTCTACTGAAGCTTTGGACCTGGTTGTAAAAATGAAGCAAGGAGGCCAAAAGTTGAGACCTACTGCCATTCAAGTGTTTAATCATCCTCTATTTTGGACACCGGAAACGACGTTGGAGTTCATTGGTAAGCTTGGAGATCCAATGAATGCTTGGGATACATGGTTGATATGCGCGTTTAACCATCATCATGGCTACACAAACTACACTTGGAAGCTACATTTAGATGTCAGCGAGGGTTTCGTCTTTGGTTATTATCCTAACGGGTTTGTAAAAAGGATGAGGAACGCAGCAAGACACTTCCATGATAAGGTTGATCCTTTGGGTTCTAAACCTAATAAAATGGCCACTGCAAGGGTTAGTATCTTCTTCAATACAATTATTTATATTTCCTATGTATTTACCAAATTAATTGTTGATCAATAGGCAGTGGCGGAGCCACAAACATTTTGTATTGGAGTCAAAATTGTTTTCCAAAAACATAATTTATAAACCATCATAAAACTATAAATATACTCTTTGATTTAAACATAATTTATAAACCATAAAAAGCCTATAAGTATATTCTATGATCATTTATAGTTTGAAACTATTTATTATAGTTTCAATTACTACATTTTCAAATAGTTTTTCTTATAAAACAATTAAGACAAAATATTTAGAAGCTGATCACAAATGCTATTTTGCACTATTTTTGGCTATCTTCATTCATGTCTGGAAAATTATCATCTGTTGGTCGATTTTTCTTTTCAGATTCAGAAAACCTGATCTATTAGTTTTCTGATTGATTTTAAGAATTAATCTACTTCTAAATATATAATTACGTGTTAAAGGTATTCAAAGATCATGAACATAGATTTTAATCATAAACGTTTTATTGAATTGATACAACGAATTATAATCATTTCTGGTTTAGTAAATAGTATAAGCAAAAGAAAAGAGTATAACAAAAAAAAAATAGAAAGCTCACCTGTAAGCTAACGATTTTTCTTTTCAGATTCAGAAAACCTGATCTATTAGTTTTCTGATTGCTTTTAAGAATTAATATACTTCTAAATATATAATTACTTGTTAAAAGTATTCAAAGATCATGAACATAGATTTTAATCATAAACGTTTTATTGAATTGAATCAACGAATTATAATCATTTCTGGTTTAGTAAATAGTATAAGCAAAAGAAAAGAGTATAACAAAAAAAATAGAAAGCTCACCTGTAATTTATCAAAAAATTACATGTGGAGCATGAAAATCTCGCAGTCTGGCGTTTGTCCAAAAAGAAATACAAATCATCTATCTTTTTGCAAATTTGCTCATGTGCTTTTTTCTAATATTAATTACTTGGGCTAATGTAATTTGGGTTTAATACAAATATGTAATTAAAATTGAAGATTAAAAATGCTTTCTTATATACCTAACTCAATAAATCCAAATTAATATTAATTTTTAACAAATAAAAATATATTTATATAATTAAAAATATCTTTTAGTATGTTTTGCAATTAATTGAGTGGGATCGTGTTTTGTGGGGTCAAATTGTGTTTCTTAATGGTATCAATAAAAAAAATTAAACAAAAACACATATATTTTAAAAAAGAGTGGGCTCAACTGACCCCACTAATCCTTCATTACCTCCGCCCCTGGTCTAGAATACGGTCACTAGTGCTAAATGCAGACTCGGATGCGGCAGAGGACACTTGCATTGCAAGAATGTCCTTTGCTATCTCTGATAATACAGGAAACTTGGGAGCATTGACCTTCCAAAATGAGAAGATTTCAATCTGTTCCCTTCATAGTACCCTTGAGAATGACTACCTTTTCCTTCAGATACAGCTCCAACTCAGTACTTGTATCATGAAATCCGGCTTCATTCACCATCTCAGCAAACAATGACTCCATTCTTTCATAACCTCAAACTTCATCAGCATCTACATCCATCGTCTCATATCCTTGACTTTGTGACTGAGATGCTGGCTCACTATCAACAGGATGAGATGTTGACCCACTCTCAACAGTATTTGCATTCGCCAATCGCTTGCTATACTCATAAAAAACCCGGCTCAAGACATCCATAACTGAATCATAAAGTGCCTTAGACTCAATTGTTTCTGTACCATAAAGCTTTTAAAAACATACACTCCAAACTTCATTTTTCTTCTAGGATCAAATACACTAGCTAAGATCAAAAGCTTTTTGATCTCTTTCAATCCTTCCCAATATTTATCAAAATGTCCCCTCGTAGTAGTTACTTTTTTTCCTCATTTCCTCATCAGGACCATTACTAAAAGTTATCAAGTTTCTCTCTATAGTAACGACCTGATGGTAACACTTATGAGAGTTCACTGACTTAGAAGCAGAGACAACTAATGTTGAATCGTAAAAGATTACTAGAAATGTTCTAACCTGTCTCTTGCATCCTAATCAGCTTTAATTGGAGGGCCAATCCTTTTCTTTCCTTCAGTTTTTTCTTGAAAGTAATCATTGTAGAGCTTGTGTTCAGCTTCCATTCTATCAAATGTTTTCTAAACTTAGGAGCTCGAGATAGCATCATATATGTTGAGTTCCACCTTGTTAAACAATCTCAAGGCAGACTTCCTCTAGTCATTTTTCCTGACTCAACATGATGATCAAACGAGTTCAGCCTCGATGTCGAAGATCTTACCTACTTAATCGCATTTCTTACCCCAGCAATACTGTTGACTATCTCACATAAACCATCCTTTGACAACCAGATTAATGATGTGCGCACAACGACGTACATGCAATAAGTCACCATCAAGCGCTTGCAAATTAGTTTATCACATTTCGTACTTAAGATTACGAATTCTTAAACAAACAAGAAAAATACATTCTTAGTTAGTAATATCACAACAATTCAACAAAACAAAAACAAAAAAAAATCCTAACAGAGGTATACTGTATACCGGCCCATGCATGTGCATATAAATAGGGGTGGGCACAGATTGAATAATAACATAATTTTTATTATTTGTGATTTCCTTTGTAGTTTACGGATATCTAATTTTCTGATTTGCTTTGATTCAGAGAAATATGGATATTCGGCTTTCCAGATATCTATAAAATTTTGGATATTTAGGAATATTTACAGATATTTACGGATATTGCATTTCGTTTAATACAAGGACATCTAAAAATCAATACAATTTTTTTTTTCAAAACTATCTTTAACATAATATAAAATAAATAAAAATGAAAATTAGTGAAACTATATGATTTAAAAAAAAAACTTCATCCATTTTGTTAATAAAACACAAAATTTTAGAAAAAAAAATGTAATTTTTATAAAGATTTGATAGTTCTTTCTTAATTTAATACCTTTATAAGTAATTATATAAATAAAATGAATAAAATATATGTTAAAATAATAATTATATAAAATTTTATATTTAAACTCTATATTTAATTATATATATACATCTATTTGTATAAATGTGAGAGTGGATCGGATATCCAACTCTATTTTTTTTAATATTTGTTTTGTTTCGATGACAGATATCCAGATTCTTTGGATCGAATTGGAACGAATAACAAATCGAATCAAATTTAACGGATACAATGCCCAAGCCTATATATGGAGACGAGTAGTGCATCACGAATACGTGATATAGTCACAATATCAAGAAATGCAACCGGAGTAGAATTGAACAATATCAGGAACCTGCTTTAGTAAATAATTTAATTAAAATATGTATTTTACTACACCAAGAACTTATGTATTTTAGTTATAAAGCTTCAGCTAGCTAGGTCTTTTGTGACCATATATTAAACGAGTCAAAACGTGGACATTCTTCGTGGCTTTAGTTATTATATATAAGAGCACAACATGGAAATTTGATCAGCAACAAGTTAATTATGATGAGGCGGATGCGTGGTGGGCTGCATATAATCGAGATTGAATGCTGGCTGTTCCTGATTTGATCTATGCTGCTTCTTTGAAAATTTGGGAACTTTCCAAGTTCTCGAGACTCTTTTAGACGGCACGGTTTTATCTAGTGAATCTCCTTTTACTCTGAAATCGTCCTTCGTACTATTCCCATTGGTCTGACCATGATTAACTACGGCATGTTCAATCGGTGCTTCGCTCAATAAGGTTTTCGTCTCGTTTGTTGAGGGAGCGCCTTGTTTTGTTATCTCTTCGTTGTTCTGGTGCCATGAAAAAAAAATTATATCGTTTTGTTGATTTATATCATTGTGATTAAACTAACTACGGTATGATTAATATATACAGACCCAATTACATACACTGGTGACTTTATACAATATAAATTAGACTAGCCACACTGCTTGGCCATATAATTTGCTCCCAAACTTAGGGTTGACTTTAATTAGTACGTAGTAGGTTTGAACCCTACCTACAGATCTTAAATATAATTAGATTTGATTTGATGAGAAAAAGCATATATGGCTTTCAATTCATCTATATGATTTGCAAAAAGACATGCATATTTAAATTAACAACCTTATATACAAATGAACCAACTAGTTTCATCTTTTTTAATAAATGGAGTGTATATACATACACACATGCTAATTAATATCATGATGATCAGGATATTAGTCGAATCCATGTTTTATTTTATACCATAAACATGTGCGTATGTGAATCAGTCAAAACAGTTTTTTCTTCTTCTTAAGAATCAATCAATATAGTATATATCGCACATGCACAAAAAAACCCTAAAATCATTGAAAGTAATCCATGATCTAATATCAGAAAGCAAAGGGGATTACCTTCTCAAGTAAGTGATCACGACTCTCACCAAGTTTCTTCTCTATGGGTCCAAGACGACGAGAATCGCATAAACATGTCCGGGAAAGGATGACAATGACGATCAAAAGGAAATAGAAGCAAGTAGTCCTCAACGGATCCATACCAGTAATAGCAATCGGAAAGAGGACTTGGACTATAACCGAGATGATTGCAGACCAATATATATAGAGATGGAGAGAGATATGACGTTTTGAAGATATGGTGATTGTTATAAATGCTTAATGCATAGATAGAAAGAGAGAAAGAGAAAATTAAGGGTCTTCGATGGTAGAGGTGAAGGAGAGAACATGCAAATGTATGGGTGAGAAGAAGAAAACTGTAGCGAAGGTTAGATATGGTGTTTGTGTGGCCCCTCTTCTGTCTCTGAAGGATTTCACTGACCCAAACCAGAGAAACTTCCTAGCGAAAGTGAAAAGACCAAACTTGTATCCTCTCTCTAGTAGTTATAGATTGACCGCTTAACTATTTCTTGTATAATTTTATATTTGTATTATTAATGGAGCGAAAATCTAGCTAGTCATTGAAACGTGCAAAAAGGAGGATTAGGGTTTTTGATGCATATGCTTCTTTGTTTATCCCAAGAAGAGGTCATAAAGCTCCTACCTCTTTGTTTCTACGTTGAAGCCTGCAAACACTTTTCATGGATTTACGCTACCTTGCTAACTTTGTCCCCTAACTCGCTTTTAATTCAATTTCATGTGTGTGCTTCTCGGGAAGCTTAACATACGCGTAAAGATGAATATTTATAATGGCGATTGACGAAAAGGTTAGCAGGCTTTTCTGCCCAAAAACATTCTTCAAACGGATTGTTTCATTTCTGACAGGTACGTAAAACCTTATTTTTACAGAAACATTGAACCAAATTGGTTTTTTAAATATTTATTTCATTATATGCATCGCTTAATACATTATTGAAAGTCTAACACCACACATGTATAAGCTATTATCTGTGATTAATTGAGAATATATAACTATCAAGTATTGTAACGGTCTTGTATGTGATTCATTCATTGTGTGGGTATGTGTACGTATTATTAAATAAGTAATTAACATTGAAATATATATATATATATATATATATATATATATGTCGGTCAATTTATATCATGATACATGTTCAGTTGTTCGTGTCTACATGAACATAATGACATTACAACCACCTAGGTATTTCGTTGCATTACGTTGACTTTATGGCAATTATATACATATCTAATGCTATTAGCCTATTACTCATTCCCACGTTTCTAGTGAAACAATGGACATAGTTTGGTGTTATCAACAAGTGGACACTAGTAGTGTCTTCTAAAACCCCAAAAGTCTTAAACACATATTTGTATTTTATATATATGTCTGAGTCTGACTGTACTTCAATACAAAGAATATAATTTGTAGTTACTATGGTTGAATATATACATGCAAATTTATTGTTATATATATGTTTGACTTTGTTCAATACAAGGAATATATATATATATATTAAGACTTTGTTCAATACAAGGAATATATATATATATATATATATATTTTTTTTAAGACATATAGGACCAGTCAAAGTAACACAACGTACGTAACTCACTAAAACCTTGTAGTTCAATACTTAAATGTCTGAAAACTTTACACTAGAGTTGGCAGACATGATAAGAACTCGATCGATGCTTATGAGTCCCCTTCAATGATTTGATCGGATGGTGGTGGGAAACTTGTTCAATGATATGATCTGACACTTTTCTTGAAACAATATAAACGTGTTAAAGAACAAAGAGCAAATATTAAAAAAAAACAAAAAAAACAAAGAGCAAATATCTGCATGGTTAAAACTTAAAAGACACATCTATACATGATGGGACGATTATGTTACTTCCTTATCCGGGCGTACGAAATCGAAGGAGAGTATATTTGGTGTTCTGTCAGATAGTGCAATAAGATTAGACTTGGGTATAAATATTTGAATATGATAAGCGTAGTTGACATGGGATTAAACATTTTATGGAGAGGAAACACGGGAAGAGCAATGAACATGTGGGTCTCACAGTGCAGCAGTCAGCAGACAAGTGTGCGTGGGACCATCACTGCTCTGTTTTTATGTTTGCTTTGCTAAGATCGTGCCCTAACCACAACCCGAAGCCGCCATTGCCGCTAAGTTCGACACGTGTCTCTTCTCCATGTGATTTGTCTTTTAATGCCATGTCCGCTTCCGTTGGAGTCCAAACAAAACCCAACATCCACCATGGGCCTGACCCAGAAATATTGCGTCCAATTTTACATTTGTTTGTATATATATCATCGCGATTCTTCTTTCCTTTTAGATTACTCCAAATATATTATCGAGGTAATATTTGATTAGTTTCTTCCGCAAGTTAACGTGATTTAACTGACTTAATAAAGATGATTTTAGTGGCTAAGCTATGGACCAAGGCCCATCGTTAGTTAATACGAGGTAATGAAGTGCGAACGATCCCACAAAGCCCAAAAGTTATTATCACTATTGGATAGAAAAGATCCCTTTTGATTTCCAACCTAAAATATATTTTTCGTCCAATTTCCAAAAATCGAACCTTCTATGAAAAAATAAGTATCCATAAATATAATTCATTGCAAGAGATGAGTGATTATTGATTAACAATTACCGAACTAGGACTAGCAATCATCTATGACCAACTCTGATAATATTGGATTAATAAACAATGGGAACCATATTAAATTCTTTGCTTCCAAAATTTCTGAACTTTTAGTTGTCAACAGATTTGAAAACTAAGCTTGAATAATTTTCATTTAAATTCGAGTTATTTTTCGGTTCATCCCTAAGGTGAACGTCTTTCCTAAAGGTTCATCTTAGGAATGAACCGGAAAATAGTTCGAATTTAAATGACAATTATTCAATATCTTTAGGTTCACTTTAAACGACAATTATTCAATTTAAATGACAAAAATAACCTTTAGCTTCACCAACTAATAATATTATGTTATTTCATATTCAATATCTTTTAGAAAAAGAAACAAAATATTGTCAACTTATATTATGTTTTTAAAATGAAAAGATAAATATAAAAAAATAGTAATAGTTGCCAAAAAAATGTTTTTAAGATTTTTAACGACGTGAGTAAAATACTATACCCCAAACCATAAATCCTAACCCCTAAACCCTTTGATAAATCCTAAACACTAAATAAAAAACACTAAATCTTAAAAACATTAAACAATTAATCCTTAACTCCTAAACCCTTGGATAAATTTTAAACCCTAAGGTTTATGATTTATTCTATAGGTTTAGTGTTTTAGATTAGTGTTTAGTATTTATGGTTTAGTGTTTTATTGACGACATTATAAATATTTTTAAGAAATCTTTTTTAGCAACTATTACTATTTTTATTTAGTTTTTTTTTCCAAGGATTTAGAGGTTAGAATTAAAGGTTTAGTGTTTTAATATTTAGTGTTTAGTATTTTTTATTTAGGGTTTAGGATTTAAGAATTTAAGGTTTACCCAAGAGTTTAGGGTTTACTGTTTTGATGATGGTGTTAAAAATATTTATTTTTTTCGCAACCACTATTACTCTTTTATTTACTTTTTATTTATTTCAAAAATATAATTGAAGTTGACAATATTTTGTTTCTTTTTTTTAAAAGATATCAAATATAAAATAATTCAATATTATTGGTTGGTGAACCTAGAGATTCATCATAGAGGGTGAACCCAAGAATAAGTCTTTAAATTCTAGAACAAAATCGACATAAGTTCATAGCTGACTGCTGATGTAACCTTATATTGTTACGGATTCTGAGTATATTTTGATTTATATCACTTTTTAGAAATTTAATTTTTATATTTGTGTTTTTTTGTAATCATATTTAGATATTTTTTTTGTAAAATTATTAGTAAGAGGTTTGATCATTGTATTGAATCTGTGATGTTACATAACTATACACTTATGCCATTGTCATTTCATACATTAATTTTGTAATTTATTCCTAAACAGTTATCCAATTTTTTAAATAACAAAGTATAGTTGCAATTTTGTTGAGTAAACAAATACTAATTAACTAGATAAAATTATATGTTTTCCATTAAATTTTCATCATTTGATTTCAATATACAATGATAATAACGTTATTATTTTACATATCATGCAATTAAAGAAAGGTTTTCTAAATTTTGATCCAATATAAATAAAAATGTCACTTTAGTTATGTCATTATTTTTATTTTATACGTGATTTCAACTTGTTTCAAATTTAATTCATTGTTACTATTGTATATGGTTTCAAATCACCAGACTTTCTTCAAACCATACACCTAGTTCGTTGTTATTATAGTATATGGTTTTTCTTAGTTATGATTCATGTACGTAAAAATATAACATTATATAATTATTATTTGAGATGATAGAGGAATATATATAATCATCGCACAAAATAGAAATAGTTTCCTTTTAAGCATAACTATCCTCATATATAAAAACTATTAAAGAAGTAGGTTCTCGGAAGAAAATAGAGTAAATAAATGAAAAGAAATAACGATTGTGTAAAAAAGTTCTATATTAGTTGGTAAAACATTTATTTTTTTTTGAAAATTGGTTGGTAAAATATGTTAGATTAAACCTGTGTCAATTGGTTATGTTACTGTCGTAATAGAATAGATTATTATTAATTAAATAATTTAGAGAAACTCCTTATAAATTATAATATATTTAAGTAGTACTGCCATGCCCCGGTCGGATTTGTTCGTCTAATTATTTGGTGTCAACTCTTTCTAGATTTTAGAAATTATAACTTAGGGACGTTATTAATGTGTCAATCACTGATATTATATAGTTTGACCAGCAAACATTAGGTTAACACTACATGGTTATGTTGGTTGTTGTCATGACATATTATATGCTCATACAATCTATTCACTATCTTTAACTTTATGTTTTATTTTCGCCGTCGCTGTGTCTTTTTATATTGAAATCAGATTTCTTGGTTGTGTAGCAAGTCTCGATAACCAATAATAAACCAACAAAAAAATCAAAATAACATAATTTGGCAATCGGCATATATAACAACTAAACGGTCCTTGTTTTCGATTGTGACTTGGATATGACATGATTCATCTAAGTTACCCT